AAAACCAGCGCGCTGTTGCCTGGATAGTTCTCATGAAGCCTGGTTCACGCGCGTATGATTTTTAAACTGAGTAAAGCAGCATCTACATAGAAGTGCATTTAAGAAGGTGTTATCTCATGTGGAGCAATCTAAATGTTTTCTTTTGCATAAAAAGTCCACAAACCCTTCAGATTACATTAACGTTTATTGTGTACTTACACACTCCACACCGCCGTGGAGCAAAGCAACAAGTTATTGAGGGGCAACACTTACGCAAAAGGTTTGACACTTTCATTCAAACAAGCAAGGCGTGATAGATGCCTGTTTTCAGATTGGTTACGCCTCCATCACCTGCAAGGTGCACAGAGCTCTGTGATCACACTGCTACTCTCATAGTCACGACAGAATTCTGCTGTCTATGTCACAATATGGGCTGACTAGCGCTGGTTTTTGGTCTTCCTGTGGTATCTCCCCTAATATTAATCACCTACCTACTCCCGTCTGTGTTCTTGAAATTTACGCTTGGCCAATGGATGTACTCTAAACGAAAGGAGCTGAGGTCAGTCGGTGAATGGGCTTTTGTTACCGGCGCAGCCGCCGGTATTGGTCTGGCCTTCTGCAAGGAACTTGCCAAGGAGGGACTTAAGATCCTCATGGTAGATATGAATGGGCCGAAACTAAAGTCTCCCGCCAAAGAAGTGGAGGAGGCATTTGGTGTGGAAACTCGAACACCGAAACTGGATCTCTCCAACGTAGGAAATGCAGTCTTCTTTGTCTATTTGCTGTTGTATAATTAAACAGCTCATAAGGTACACTGTGCGTCAGTTGTCATAAAAAACGTAACAAAACGTGTTCTCTGCTCGTGTCGTTAAAGGGAATGCGTAGATGAATTTTCAATTGCGATATATTTGCTAAAAATCTACAGTTCTGAAATAGCTTTCAGTCCGCCAGTATTCCCTACAAATGCGCAACAGTAAAGAGAGAGCAATAATAATTTGAAAAAATTGATAAAAACGCTAAATAATAACGACGCATTTGTGCACGTTTTTTAAAATTATGTTTATATAGAGCTGTTCTTTGACTAGAGCAATAACATGTTCGCTAGGGTCGTCTGGACTATGCACTTAATGAACAAAAATCCAGCATTTTGCGTTGAAAAGTGCTTCATGCCTACTGCCGTCTTATTTGAAGAGTATAACGAGGATATCGCTTGGATTGGGTTCCGGACGGTTAGAGGGGAGAAAACTGCTTCAAAGTCCATAGGTCAGTCTATTGACGGCGAGCTAAAATGCAATCTATAGACGTAGGTTAAGTCGAAAACATACCTCGTTCGAGTGTCAAACACGTGCAGTATACAACAAGACTCTTGTATTCATTCGACACCGGTGACTGCTGTTGTAGCCGATGGCATACGTTGCAATATCGATGGAGATCCTACTCTTCGTGGTATTTTTTGTCGGAGGCGAGGGTCTCCAGACTACGAATGTTGTGGCCATTTATATTAGGAGTCTAGCCTAACCGAATGCCAGCAACCTTGCAGGCTATCCTGAGACGTCACGCCTGCAGTCGACTGTGAACAACGATTCCTTTGTTAGCAGCGGACTGCCTCAAGGTCATATGTCATCGCTGGTGACTGTGTTCACATGATGATCTTAAACCTCCGGACAAGACATAGACGCATACAAGTATGCGCGTGTGCCTAACAAGTCGCAGCTCCTCAAGGGTCACTTAGGTGTCTCACGCAGTAGGTGACCCTCTTCCGACGCGCCCAATCATGCTACAAACAAAGGTGTTTGACAATGACTTATAAACCAGTGTCACCTATCAGACAGTGAGTTGCAGATGGACTGCAGGGACACCGACAGTCCGTCACATTGCCGGGCTTAGCCCCAAGGAGGGGAAATTCGGCCCTGGACAACGCCGGTGGTAACAGCCACCCAAGACAGCAACTCCGGGTTTTGTAAACAATTAACAGGCCTTCGGGTAGATTATAGTTTGATGCCCTTTTGCTGTGTTCTTCCTTAAGGATTCAAAGCGGCGTAAGTAAACGGTGACAAGGTCAAAGCCACCGTTACAACAATTTTACTAATCACGCGTACAATGACCTAGAGGATCGCTGGCGATACATTGTGCTATCGTGAACATTCTTCTAAAATATGACCAATTGGGCCGATTTCAGACAGTTGACCAAAAACGTGACCAAATCACGAAAATGGGAATTCACCTACGTGCCGTTACCAAATTTCCATTGACGCAAACTCCGATTTTTCCTTTTCAGAGGAGGTTCATTTGAAACTGCATCTGTTAATACTTATCCCGTTTAGAGCACAAAATGCATAGACAAGAAATTTGAGTATTTAATAGTAGGCTGTGTAGGTGATCACCTGGACATCGCAAAAGCGTCCGATATCGACTATGCAGATTACATTATACTTTCAGCAAAACATACTTGAATTTATTTCTTATTTAGTACAAGGCCCTTTGCATTTCAAGTTCAAATAACAAATTTAAAAAGTATCATCAAATCTATGCCATACGATGCTCTAAAATTAAATTAGTTAGCTCGTCTTATTTGCGCCTTTGATACCAGTTAGTTCCTTTATTGGAGTCTTCAACAATAAAAAAACAAAGGAGCACAGGTTGACACCTTCTGTTTATGGGCAGAGAAACAGAATGGCAATTGCTGGCTTTTCAGCCATCGTCGGGCCGTCATACCCAACTCCAGGAGTAATGCAACCTTGGCTTATGATCTCAAACCTCTGTCTTGTGCGCTTCCAAAACTGAAATTTTATCGTACTTTTTTGGAACATTTAGTACAAATTTTCGAGAAGAAAAACCTGACGTAATAAAATATATTATTTTGTCATTAAATCTCTCCCCTTCTGCTAGGAAACACCGGCTAATTAAAAACCCCACCAACATAGAACTATATGGTGCATTTTACTTACAGGTAGAGAACGTCGGTGAAATCAGGGATACCATTAACGCACTCTCATCAGTGGCCTGCTTCGTCAACAACGCCTTTGACAATCGATGTTTTATGGCAAACCTGGATTTTATGCCCTGCATGCGAGCTGCCCTGCCAAAACTCTCTGAAGCAGCCTACTTACGGAGGCCCTTCCTTATCACCATAACTTCCATCGATGTTTGCTTAAACCATCCGAATGCTATTGTGCTTGCTATTAGCAAATTTGGCGCGAGTCTTCTGATAGGCTCTCTTTATCTACACCCGCTGGGTTCCGGTGTCCAAATGCAAGCCTAACTGCCCTGTCTCATTTCCACCGAGTTCACCAGAGTGCCACTCAGCAATCCCTTTGTGCCGTCAGCAGATGTCTTTGCGGCTGCAGCCCTAGACATGCTAGGAGTTGAGGAGATTAATTGTGGCTACTTTTTTGATGCTCTACAGTTCTGGTTCTCTGATCTTTCTCGGATGCTTTTCAGGTCTTCTGGAGGTGTCCGTGAGATCCGAATGCCAAAATACTACTCAACGGCGATGAAAATCTAATAATTTGACCGTCAGTGATCGAAACAACAGTCTCTCATTCTACTAGAAATCGGTTGTTACTAAAGTTTCAAGATATGTTATGGATTGGTTGCTGCAAATTAAGCCGTCTGTTAAATATTAATATTAGAATGACAACACAGCTGGTCTTGAATGTAACAAGTTCCTATGTTTTAATGCCATATGGTTTATGTGGAACAGTTAAAAATGAGTCTACTCGCTTATGTCTTTTGATTAATGGAATACTGATTTGTGCTGGAGCATTTGCAACAGAGACCACGGGGCGTAAATTGGACATACTGACTTAATATGAATCGTCAGCTGAGCATATCTCAAATTCGATTTACTTGGGTAGTGCTCCGGAATCTCTGGCTTCCTGAATAACCGGCTGTACTGGAACCTATGGAGGGGAACTTATGTGGTCGGTTGTTGGTGTAACTCCATACATTTACTTCCTTCCATCCTGTTGACTTCCCTGACTAGAGTTTTTTGTAATGGGTATAGGAAGTATATGTATCTTATGCCTTCTATAAAAAAGGCGTCAGTAAGACAAGTACGAATATTTGGACTACCTAAAAGCGACAATATCGCTGGCATCAGACTAACAGGTACACTCTGCACACTCTACTGGAATCACTTTAACCTGTGGTTCCGGAACATTGCCATAAGGGTAGTACGCAGTTGACGGAATAGTTTAAATGAAGTCTAGTTCATGCGCGTATTATTTTTAATCTTACTGAAGGAAAAACACGTTAAGAAACGGTCATCACATGTAGAACAAGCTGAATACTTTCTTTAGCGTAAAAAATTAAAACACACTTCAGATTTATACATTTTACAGTTGCGGATTAAAATGCGACATATTAGATTAACATTGATACCGTCCTTATTTTTGGACTGTTTACATGAATGTACCAAACTATCAATGACACGCACACCACCCTGGAGTAAAGTAATAGGTTAGCCAAACGCAAAACTCACGCAACGCTTCGCATTTTCACACATACAGGCTAGGCCCGATCGATATCTGTTTTCTGATTGGTTACGCTTCCATTGGCATTAAAACGCACAGTACTCGTGACCGCACCGAGCTTGGCGACAACCGTTGCTCTCGTTATCACGATAGAATTCAGTCCTTTCCCCCACAACATGGGATGGTTATGGAGGACTGTTGGTCTTGCAGCGGCATCTCCCCTGATATACATCACCGCCGTGGTCGTCTCTGCGACCTTAAAATATACAGTTGGAAAATGGCTGTTTTCTAAACGAAAGCAGCTGAGGTCGGCCGGTGAATGGGCTGTTGTTACCGGTGCGGCTGCCGGCATTGGTCTGGCCTTCTGCAAGGAACTTGCCAAGGAGGGACTGAAAATCCTCATGGTGGATGTGAATGGGCCAAAACTAATGTCTGCCGCCACAGAAGTGGAGGAGGCTTCTGGTGTGGAAACTCGAACCCTGGAACTGGATCTCTCCAAGGTGGGAAATGCTGTGTCTCGTTTGCTTTTTAGCCATTTTAAAAAATTATGATTTTAGAGGACCGTTGTGCAAAAATAGTCAAATATGTCGTCTTCTCGTATCTTTACAAATTAGATGTAAATCACCTACTAATATTTGGTATAAAACTAGAATTCTGTAATAGTTTTCCCTCCGCCAGTACTCCTCACAAATGCGCAACATAACGTTTCGTATTTTTCTGGCTCGCTTTTTACTGTTCTCTTTATCATGGATTATGTTCTGCATAAGTGGTCCCAGAGAACGTTCTTCCGCCTTCTAATAAGTGGATTAATTCCACGATCTGCTATAAGCTTGCGAATGCAAAAAGTATTGGCCATATATATGGCCATCTTTTGAAGCACTTCTTATTATTCTTCCTGTTCCGTGTCTACATAACGCATAAGCGGAACGTATAGTTTACAAAAAATTTATATATCTACATGACTTATATTCAGTAAGCCCTTTTTAACATTACATTCGCGGTAACATATGCAGACACTTTGCTTTAGCGCCAAGGTGAGCCGTGCGGTTAAAACAAAATGCGACGAAAACACTTTACTGCATTGTTGGAAAAAAACTTCACACGTTAGTCGAACATAACTTTATAGACTTAAATTGTTGCTTGTTTCTGAAAATAATTGTGATTCCTTCAACTTGGTATCACTTCCATTTGAGTAACTTCGGATAAAATTTTACAATTCTGGAAGGGATAATTTTTTCCACGTTTTTTACTTATTCTGGAATTCTTCGATAGCGCGATGCATACTAGTATAAAGTTTGATTCTGTCATTCCATATAGCATAGGAAATGTCTTCGATATAAACTAACTCATAATTAAGCCAAAATTAGTGCCTGTTTCGCTCCATAACTTTAAATAAGAAGGCAGTTTTCCAAACAAAAGCCTTTCTATTTATTCAATCAACTGAGTTGATGAAAATAACCTGTCCAAACACATGCTTTATATCCAAGTTAAATTTCGTCATGAAAGTTGCCTGCAGGACTTGCAATACTGTATGTCAGTCGGCTGAGTTTGTGCGTGGTTAACTCATCCATTTTCAGAAATTACGTCCGACACTGCACGAGGATCGAGTTGAGACGATTGGTTGAAAGCTTGTCAGACGTGTTCATACATGCCTCTGTGCTTTTGTTCTCCATTCTTTGCTGCTAAGTAGTTTA